TTTCTATATTTATTTTATTCTCGTTTTTAACCATTTATTTTGGACATAGGCAACTCTGCAGTGCCTCCATTTTAAAAAAAACTTATCTTTCTTATTTCTACCAAGTACTAGAGATTTATGGCTATAAAGGAAAGAGTAGACAGGTAGCTCGTGGGATGCTCAACGGATGGTATGGGAAGTGTGTATTAATTTAGTAAAGAGCAAACTGTTTTCTTTATAGTAAAAATGAGAGAATCGGGGTATAAATAGTTAGACTGCTTATCTGATGGTAAGTGACTACCGCCGCCCATGGATACTTGCAACTCAAGAGTCCACCTCCCTCCGTCGTCAGAGGGAGGAGGGTTGGGGCGCCGGTAAGCTCATTCACTCGATAAAAAGGAACGATAGAATCGCACTGGTAAAATAACAAATTTAAGAATATAGTTGGAAGAAGTAACTAGTTTAAGTGAATATAGGAATAAGAATTATTAGTGCTGTACTATTTAAAGTGTCTTAGGGTTTAAGGTACGCAAGAGCAATGACAGCGAGTAGAAACATTTTATGAATGTTAGACACACTCCACACAGAAATTATCCAAACGTGTCATTTTAAACTTTTTCAATCTAATAATATACGGACACCGTGTATTTTTGTTGTCGCCGATTTTCAAATAAATAAACACTGTTTAATTAAGATAGTGACTAGAATCCACGATCAATAGCGACGAATGACACATTTTTTGCTAATTATGTTATTCGAAAACTCTCTAAACTAAACTAAAAATCACTAAAAAAATATTTAATTTGTTTTGTCCTGTCAAACAACGTTTCGTATTCTGAAAACGTGGTACTTGACAGGTCTAAACTAAGTTAATATTTAATGTCGACCACAACAAAAAGCCTACGGCAGCAAGTCTACCTACCTGCAATTTTTGCTGTACAAAACACTGTAGGGATTGATGCAAAAATTTGGTCACTCGGTCATAAGATTGGATTGAGATACGAAAAAGGGTACGAAATTGCCACACGTCAAGATGAGACACATAAAATTGATAAAAGTAGAAATACCAGGGCTTTATGGAATGTGAAACATGTACAACACGTGTACAATATGTACACATCACAAAGAACAGCATTACAGCGAAAGCAATATTTTCTAAGCGAAGCAACAGATAATAATTGTAACAAATAGGATATGTCTCGTGTATATAAAAATGTATAGAGAAAATAATCTATTACCCGCCATTGTCGCGGCTTCCCAGCGTTTATCTGTGTCTATTACTAAAATTAACATAATTATTATCGGTATCAAAAGGTTTTTTAAATAAGACATAATTGTAATTTTCAGTTTAACAGTTTCGTAGTTTATCGCCTACAAACAAATCTTTTATCGTGATTATGTTATACAGATAGATGTTCAAACAAACATATTTTTAATATATGAAAAATGTGCACTTCCCGTACAGTATATATTTGTAAATGGGTAGAAACCAGGCGAATACTGATAAAAGGCAGCCGGTAATTTACTTTTGTAATTATTTATACCGCAAACTAAATTCGTCTCGGCAATGTTTTTAATTTCAAGTCACACTGCACTATCAGTTGCATGAAACATTTTTATGATATCATTTGTTTTGCATTTGCGGTCAGCCGTTCCATTTCTCGGAACACGGTCTCCATAACGAACAATGAAGTGCATCAAAAGAGGTTAACCATGGCCGCTTGTATTTTTAATTAACGTTCTGGCTATTCCCAGCGATGTTATGTTCTACGGTAGGTTTATGTCACATTATATTTTTGTTCGTTCAAAATACTTAGGAGGAATACAATAAAAATAGAATGCCATATGATATGTAGAGATTTAGACACTACCAGAGGCAGATCTAGTTTAGTACTTAGGACAGGATAATTTTTTCTAGTCAGGACTAAAAACTAGCTCCAATCTACTTGAAATCCTAGCAAGAATATTTCGCACCTTTAATAATAAACTGAATTAATTCAAAATTTACGTTTTTCGAGTTTTCAACAAATACCAAATCAACTTCATCAGTAGAACACGAACAATCCAACAGCCGACTCGATACCATGAAAATGGCAGAGATAAGAGATCGTCGTTCTCTTTTTGACGAACTCGCACGTACATGAATTTCAAACTTTAAATGCGATTTCCCACAATATTGAAATTCTAAGTTAATTCAGTTTATGAATAAAGGTGCGATTTATGTACACACTAAAATACAATCTAGAGCATACTCAAAACAATATACTGAAGTAAATATTCTCGAGCCCTCTGTTTCGTTCATGAGTACTTTAATGAACTATTTAAATAGTTATTTCATAGTAGATGACTATTTTGGTTTGTAAATGATTTAAATGATAAAATGATTCTCTTTGGAACCACCATATTTTTATAAAATTTAAACTTAAAAATAGTTTAAATAATATTTTCGGCATCTAACACACAACGCCATCTAGTTTCAAACTAAGCAGAGCTTGTACTATGAAAGCTTGATTGGCTGATAGAATACTTATATACAACATATTTTATAGCTAAAGACGTTTGTTTACGTCTGATGTTACCCATATTTTAAAAGATGTAGTGGTTCTTTGGAATAGAGTACAAACTATTATCATGTACCAGACTCATTCCTGGACTCTTCAGTTAGCGTTCTACATACATATATTATAGAGAGAAGGTAAGGATTGTCATTGAGATCACAAAATAGCAACTAGTTAATCATACTCGTAAAAATAATAGCAAAGCATCATCCTAACTAAATGACAACAATAAAAATGTTATGATTTAAAAATATACAGTGATTGCAAAGATTCATAAAAACGAGATCGGTTTCAGTAACAAAAGTCAGCTGTTAAAATAGCTCATGTTCTATAGTAAGCTACTGTTGGAAATCATTCATCAATTTAAAACGAAACAGCTGACTTAAATTAATATTTCGATAATAGCGTGAAACTAATAACAGAATATTTAAAAAGTACTTAAAATATATCAAGAATTGCAATATTCAAACTAATCCATAAGGTTCGCAAAAAGGTAACTATCATATTGATCAGTAAATAAAAATAGAATCAACATTGTATAAAATGATCAAAGTTTTAAATGAAAAATGTGTGAAATTCTGAAAATCTCTTACAAACCAGCCAAAAATTGTTTAGACACTTCTTGAAATGTTTTTCACCTTTACGTCTTGCAATCTGAAAACTTTTGCCATTACTGTAACTAGTTAAGTTGAGTAAGAATGTGAATTTATGAATATATAATTTATTCATAGTCGGCTATTATTGCGCTTAAATTCACACAATGGCGAAAATTTATCCGTCTGCTTCAAAACTTTGAAATGTCCCGTCTGGCAGAAAAAACTTGTTATTTTCTCTTTTGTCTTTTATGACTCGACATTGCGGGGTCTAATTGGACAGATGTTCAATTACGATCGAGTGACTTAAGAGCCTAATTTAAATTTATTCAGCAGCAAAGTCAAAAATGATGTAATAGGAGTTTGCGACAAACTTTTTAGTTATTTATTTGAAAAATTGGTGAATAGTCCAGCACGCTGGGTTATCTAACCTCGGTGCTTTGCTAGGTATAAATGTTATCTGTTTCTCTTGATACACTGAATATCGTATGGTTTTAATAAGTTTGAATCCATGTTTAATTCTATGTATCGAAATTAAATAGTATAATATCGGTTCCTGATTTTAAATTGTATATGTTTGCAAGTATACTCGTATATCGATACTACCATACTTATATGTTATAAATGTACAAGTGAGATTGTTTATTTGAGTTCGTTTGCCCTTTCTTCTCATAAGGCTCAAACCCTTGGAAACGGGCATATAAAAGATTTTCCATATTATTATATTATATTTATTTTGCTAAATATTTGACACAATAAAGATTGTTGCTAATGCGTGTGTTGATCCTATGACTTAAGAGTCTATATAAAATACGATTTCAAATAATTTTAAACAAATTTATGTAATAAAGATAGTTTGAGTTAGACTATTTATTTATGTCGAAGTAAGACTGACTAAAACCACAGCGTGCCATACTGGGCTTGTAATGGTAGGACCGTTGGCATTGCGGCTGTAAAAGGGGGTTAAGCCGTTGGTCCTATATGCCATAAGAACATCTGTGGAAATCGTTAAGGGTAGATAGAACTCTAAAACCCAACAGTGTACGTACAGAAGTTCGATTTCGCCTAGTACTTAAGTTGTGGAGGTCTGATATAAGTCTCTCCACGTTAAAAATCGAAGTTCAGATTTTAAGAAAAGGCTCAGAGGTTGATAAGATTATTATAAATTGCAATTGTTTAAAAATTAAACAATGTTGTTTGCTTACACTGTTTTGACTTAAATATTGTGTGTGCACACATACGTCATATAGTCATAAACGACTTTAGGTTTAACTAATGTCAGTTTTATAATTATTTTTTTCCATTATATCGCATGCAATGAGAGAACCGCAACGAAATGATAAAAGAACAGTGTTTCAATTTGTTGAAGCACTGTAATTAAAAGAAGTGTGTTATCTTTTTTTCTGACTGCGTCGGTAATAAAAATATTATTTGTGTCTGTCACTGTTAAATTGATTTATGAATAAAGTTTTATATTCTTTTACATAAAATTGCGGGTAGTGACCGCAACAAACTAGGATTTATCGTTAGCCTTCATGGTTTTAAGGCATATTACAACAACAAAGCATGATTTAGATTTTATAAATTTTTTAACCACAGCTCGTTTCATAAGATGTTGTAAAGTAAAGAAAAGTAGAACCAATATACTAGTATCCAGAGTACAAGCTATTATTCCAATAATAATTAAATAGGTTAGTTTCATTTATTTGTTGTTGTTTTTCCTGTGACATGATAAGATATACCCAGATTATTTTCACTTGGGAAATTAACAGTGAATCTGCTGGAGCTTGGCTGTATGTAATTTAACTTCGTAAATATGCCATGAAGAATTCTATCTCATACAATTTGAAAAAAAACATGAGCTACTCACCGTACACCTTTGACCACTGCGCCGTCGGTCTCCAATCCGGGTAGTGCTTTGGGAATTTCTCCCTTGTCCAATACGTATGTAAAACCATGCGATAGACGGTCATTTTGTCTGGATTACACACGTCCGTATCTGCCGTCGCCGCGGCTAGCGCGAACAACAACACTAGTAACAACCGCATATTGATATCGCCACTTGCACTTCACTAGGACATACTTGACTGATGTCACAACATTGCACTTTAGTACCTGCAAAGAAATAAATTTGGTTACATCATTGACATAATAGGGGTTAAAGTATGAAATTGCCGTTGTATAGTAATGGATACTTTGAATTGACATAAAACCTTCATGGTGTGAGATTTTCGTGTGAAACTTTTTTAAGTGATACCTATGAGTTTCTTCTTTAAAAAATATGTAACATTTGATTTTTGAATTCGATTTGTTTTTTTTTTAACTTAGCTTAGACGTGAAAGACATACGAGTGCCGACACGGAACTAATAATAAATGGCTCGCAATATCAACGCTGCGTTTGAAAAGGAGACTGCTAATGAACGCACCGTACGTTTTCGGTTTAAATGCTTTCATAATGGAAATTTCGATTTGAAGAACGAACCACGTGGAAGACCGCCCACACGGGTGAATAACGCTGAATTGAAGGAGATAGTCCGAGTCAAACTACCCAGGAATTAGCGGCATGATTTAACGGTACACTACTTACAATATTGAATCATTAAAATTTGCATCAAATCAATAAGGGTGGGTGCCTCATGATTTGACTGATATGCAGAAAGAGATGCGTGGTGAAACTTGTGTTGCCTTGTTGAATCGGTACAGAAATTAAGGAATATTGGTTCGAATTGTGACATGTGACGAAAAGTGGATTGTTTACGATAACCGCAAGCGAAAAATGCAATGGCTGACCCCAAGTCAAACGCAACAGTACCTTAAAGGCAACCTTACCAGCTCTTCATGGTTTTACTCTTTATAGCCTTCTCAGGTCTAGTCAGGCAATAACAGCAGATGTTTAGTGTGCCGAATAGTTCAACTATGATGGCGAAACTGGCAGTGAAATAGCCCCCACACGTGAATCGATCTCCACCATTACTGCTCCATGATAACGCAAGACCTCACACTGCACGAGAAACCGTAGTAACTCTACAGGAGCTGTAGTTAGAAACCATTCGTCATCCTCCGTACTCGCCAGACTATGCTCCAACGGTCTATCTTTTTTTTTCGTGATTTGGACAATTTTCTACCTGATTAAAAAAATTCTACCCAGGAGGCAGTACAAATGCTTTCACACAATTTGTCGAATCTAGATAACCAGAGTTCTATCGTAAAGGCATAAATAAACTGCCGTTTAGATGGCAGCAATGTATAGATAATGAGGGTAAATATTTTGACTAAATTAATATTATTATGTTACATTTTAGAAAAAAAAAGAGTTTTAATTTTTTTGTACAAATCGGCAATTTCATACTTTATCCCCTAATATTATGTAAAGGGCACTATTGATTCTATTACATCTGGGAACTTTATTGTCTCGGTAAAAAAGAACGATTGCATAATTGCTTAACCTTGGTATTACTTCAGTGGAGGCGGCCCATTTGTGCCGAATCATGGCTCTTCCTCATGGCTTGTCAAGCACCTTTTTGCTATTCGTATTTTAAATGTTTGTGAATAGTAATAATAATAATTTTGGATATCTTACACACAACGCCATCTAGTTTCAAACTAAGCAGAGCTTGTACTATGAAAGCTAGATTGACTGATAGAATATTTAATTACTTTCTTTTATGAATAATACTTTTATAACTGTAAAAATAAATTACAAATGTTATACAAGATTAGATTACGTTCTAAGTATAAATCAAAATGATTTATTCGTATCTTTATTTTTAAAGTTGAGATTTCAAATGAGATTGAGTTAATTTCAAACTTAATTATACCTAAGGGTATTTATATCAGTAAGCCTATACGCTTCAACTTACGATTTATGATTAATCATTGAATGTCGTAGTAAAATAGCCCGGTGGGTAGGTGAACGACCTGTCTATTTTTGTCCCTTTGAGGTAAAATATAGGTGGAATCACTTTGAGAGTTTTGAAGCGCTTCCAAGAATCAAAGTTAATCGACGTTTATACCTAGATGGTTTATTTTCCTTTTGTGATAAGGATCTTTTGACTTTGACGGGATAAAAATAACACAAGCTTGATTTATGACCAGTTACGTCAAAAGTAGGAGGTAATTTTAGGTTAGGTTGCCAAATAAAAATGTTCTTAATATTATTTCCTTATTCTTAATATCTCACTGTCCTGATCTTAGATACACAATAAAGCTGTTAATATAATATGATTATTAAAACGATTTTATTAACTTCACTTGTAACTTTAACTACTGACTAATGAAAATGAAACGTTGTAACCTGTATATTACATATACATAGTTAAACTGTGTTGAATTTTTATTTAGCTGACTATTAAAGTATGTTACTTTTTATATTTTATAGACTTATTAAATATATACACAAAAATGTTAAGTTGATTTGTGTACAATTCAAAAACTCAAAAATCTCTGCACCGATTGAGCTCAAATTTTGACACGATATACAAACCGCTTTAAAAATTGTTTTTATCTATTTTTCTCGTCAGTTTTATTCTTCATTTCTCATCAATGCAACGAAAATGTTCAACAGAGAAGCATGCCAGGGTAGAGCTAGTAATTTATGAAATTTTAAATCTCTGAATGATTCAAATCAGTTAACACGTGAACTATCAGTGGATGCATGCTGACCCAAGCAAACGGTTGACAACCTAAACCTAAAATACCCATGAAAATTCGCAAACTGAAAGCCCGTATAAAATTCGTATTTGTTAAATGTAAACCTCAAAAATATTCATAATAAAAGCTACACTAGCCTTGTTCAACCCTGTTGAAAAAAGCTTCATGCTGTTACTGGTATCTATTTAAAACAGTGACAACTAGTGGATGACAATGTAATGGTAGGAAAACAGCATGTTTGAATAATTTAAAGTTTTTTTTGATTTGACGTATATAATTTGAATTCTGTTGTATGCTGTCTATACGTTAAGTGTTATTTGTATAACTCGCTATTTAAATGTTTTTATCCGTATTTCAGAGTTTCAAAATTTGTTCATTAGTCAATGAACAAATTTCCTAACCTCTTTCCTAAAAAAAGAGGAATAAGTATGGTAAAATATTCCTCATAATACTTTCACGTGTAATCTAATATTTCTTCAAATAATAATTTTGTTTAAGTTAAGCAGTTTACCATTGTTACTCATTACTTAAATATGTTAAGGGCTTCTAAGTTTTGATTGTATAATACGAAATGTATCACATCTTGTAAGCTGCTTGTGTAGTCTCAACGGAATATATGTAGATTATGTCTTTCACAAGTGTTGTAGTATGCGACTAAAGGATTCTGTCAGAATTTACTTTAGCATCTTATAACACATTCTAAGGACGAAGTTTACTACACTAATGACGCTCAACTTTTGGTAGTTCCTTACGAGAGGTTATAATAACAAGGTTTATACATTAATTTTGAAGCAAATTACTGTAGAACCATGACATAATATCCCGTAAATCATTAAATTTATACATAAATAAATATGTACACACGACAAAATGAGAACTATTATGAGCAACACGTATTTTTTAAAGGACTTTAAAAAAAGAAATCATTACATTACATTAACATAACATCATTACATACATTACATAAACATTACATTAGCATTACAGTGTGTGAGATGTGTAAAAATATTTATTATTAAAACATTTTTTTTTATGTTCCGTCAGAACCGACATGGAAAAAATATGTTTTATTTGTAAGAATATATTTCTCGTTTACTTCCGTTCAAACGGAACTAACGGTGGGAAATTGAGGAATGAAGAATATATTTTTATTATAATCCATCATAAATCTTCCATTCATGAATTCATCATGTGGGCGCTTTAATGTTGGTAAAAAAATTTGAAGAGTCTAATTAGGATTTTCTTTTAACGAATAAAACAGCAGTTCCTAGGGCCCTTAGCCCCAACTACTTTAAAAAAAAAAAAAAGTTTCTCGAGGTAGGTTCGTCGTGAAGTTAGTTAGAAGTTCTGTTCTATTTTGGAAGTGTAAGACGTTTGTTTGAGGATTAAAGCCTAATCCTTGTCAGGAATAAGTTACAACTCTATGCTTAAAAATCATTTTTCTTAAATAAACATCTATCGATAAAAACGCAATGTTACAGCTTTAAACGTTTTTTTCTTCTTAAAAGACAACTCCCGCATTAGGAATATATCCTGTATCGAGGGGGACTTTAAAATCATACATGAAACGGACACAAAGAACACCGAGACTCAGAACAACAATTTGTGGATCACACAAAGTATTGTCCCATGTGGGGTTTGAACCCACAACACTCGGCGTAGTAGGGAGCGGCGTGGCGACCGCTTAAACCACTACGCCATCCGTGCAGTCAAAGTCAGTTTGTTTATATAGATATCAGATATAGTAGGAGATTCACATTCTAGTCTATAATTACTAACGATAAGCAGATCTGTAGTCCGGATGCTTCACGTTCCAAGTAAGCCCACTAGGAGACATTATTCATCTTGCGCCATATCTCATTAAGGTGTTGAATGTCAGGTCGTTTTAGTAGTTTATAGCAGCTGTTATTAGTTAGTTAAACTACTTGTTTGGATAGTTATACATACTTCAATGACTTAGCAATAATTATATCGACTTATTATTTTTAATCGACTTCCAAAAGAAGGTATATATTCTGAATTATTTTTTATCTATTATGTTATTTGTAACGTGACGCAATCTTCACGCTATAAGCACAAAAACTTTACTCACATACACTCACAAACACACTCACATGCTCACACACACACACACACTCAAACCCACCACAATACATCGACTAACTTAACCGCGCGGAATCCTGGATTCCTGGAATACAGGTATTGACCTAATTTAGGCTCCAGTCCACCTCAAACTACAACTTTTAAATTTGCACTAATTTTTATAATTCACTGTACATTGTGTCGTTTGTGGTGGAAATAAACATATTTTTATTATTATTTTTTATTTGGTATTTTAGGGATAAAGAATACATATACCATTAAAGCCCTGGTTTACAAATGAAGTATATTTCTGTG